GACAGGGAACAAGTAAAAGGTTTATTCCAAGCTGAAAAAAAAAGCTTGGAATAAAGAAAACAATGTTTCGTCCGTGGGGTCTTCTTCAGGTGTGAGGAAGAAGGCTCCACGGCCAAAACGTTGTTTTCTTTCTTTTTTTGTTCAGCATGGAATAAACCTATTACTTGTTCCTTTGCAGCCTATGCCTGCTGATGCAGATTCCCACCTGAACTATAACAGATGACAGGATTGCTTCATGTGTCAAAGAGCCTGCCTGCAGCTCTTGCTATCTGGATTAGTCTCTGGTGCCCACCTTTCTCCTCCAAGTTATTTGGATTTTGATTGCCCCGTTACTAAAAGATATTGCTGCTCTGGAATTGGACCAGAGGATGTATTTAACAAATACATTGTTGGGCTTAAGGGAGCGTTCTTGTTCCGGAAAGCTAAAACAAAAGAATCTTTTTCGTCTTGACCAGAGGAGATCACAAGGGGATGGACCTCCAGCCCAGTGGTCTTCTTCAGAACGAGTCAAATTTAAGCCAGAGAACAAGAGAAAAGGAGACACTTTTCCTCACACAAAGGGCTGCGGGAGTCCAACAAGCTAACAGCCACTGTCGCAGCCTGTCTTTTACAAACTGGATGGATCATTTTTTTAACGCTGAATCCAAATGACCTTATTTTACAAACTTTCTTATATTCCTATGTGGAGAATGGAATTACAAATCGGGCATTAGCCCCACCTTGATTGGTTTTATTCACTAGTAAATTATTGTTATTAGTTTTGTTTTTAGCAGCACTTTTCTTCAGATTAATGCCAACGTCCTCTTTTGTCTTTCATTAAGAGAAAACAAGAATTTGGGCTGCGAAGAAACATGTAGGGGTTTGTTCGGTGGTGGAAAGTAGAAATATAAACAAGACGGCTATTGAACCTTCTTCAGGTGATGACTCCACAGCTGAAATGTTTTTCCCCCCCTCTTTCCTTCTAATTTTGAGCATGGGATTGATCTTTACTCGGTTATGAAATGAGTCCCTTTTTCTGAGGTGATAAATAACCAACCTCTCAAAACAATCGTTCCCAGTGAGCGCGCATTCAAGCCGTTGAGTATTCTCATGCATTTGTTGTGGTCTACCTTTCTTCTGCTTGGAGGGCGAGCATTAACATTTTACCCGTCCGTGTTAACAATAGCGATGATTCCAGCAGCTGCCGCATCAGGACGGCCACATTCGGAACTGGTTTGCAAATCCTAACTTGCAACCCCAACCGAAAGGCAGCTCCCAAAATCATTGTTATTCCATATGTCAACATGGGGCATATTTGCAAGTCATACGTTATTTCACACCAAATAGTGGGACGCAAATGCAGTTCCCTGCCTGAAGCAATGATCACCGTTTCAATACATGTATAGGCACATGGATCATCTTAAATGGCTAAATTCTAGTACTATATTTTAATGCAGAATATGAGTTGCCAAAAGACTACAGTTAATCCTCAGGCAGACCAACATGCAACAGCTGAATGTTACTGAATAACTTCCCCTTAAACATCAGGTACTGTGTGTACATGTATTTAACGGCACTCCTTTTCATGACGCCCTTTGCTTGATAAACCTTGCCAAAATTAAAAAAAAAAAAACCTCAGTAAATCACATTCAATACCTCATGTATTGTCACACAGCTTTGTTAAGTGCCTTGGGGTAACCGTGTTGTGAAAGGTGCTGTATAAAAATAAACTGAATCGAATTCATTATGCTAACCAGAACAGACAAAGAGCAGAAGGCCAGGCATTGCCCTCTCTGAATGAAGAGAAGAAGAAGTTTTACCTGTACTGTACAATACCGTACTTACCTTCTCTGGCTTAGAAAACGTTCCTTAAACTCTCATGTTGCAAATCCCTTCTATTATCAGTGCAACAATCTGGGCGGCAGAAACAGATAATTTGTAAGTATGATCCTAGAAGCAATCGTACGAAGGTTCTGTGCATTTGTAAAATTTCAAGATAAAATAAAAAGGAGCCAAACACCACATTCTCGTTATAGTTTCAGTGCTCAGTTCTGAATTGGCAATTCCGAAAGCCACTAGCCCAAAACATGGAAATATAGTAAAACATTTCCTGTGCCGATTTTAATTCAAACTTTCAACCATATACTCTAATTCAGCCGCAGTTTTTGGGAACTGCACTTCAAGGAAGACATTGCTGCTGTGGAAACAAATCAAGAAAGCTCTGGAGTCATACCAGTTGCTCTAAAAATCATTTCAAATGCAGAAAAGGTTAAATATTTTTTAGCCTGGAAAAGAGAAGGACATGTAGGGGGGTTTGATTCCAAAATTCAAATCACAAAATGAGTTGAGAGCTAGCAAGTTAATATTCACCAAAGAACTAGGACTAGACAATATAAGAGACTAGTGAAGAGTTATTATATAGTATTTTGAACAAAAAACGGGTAGTTTTACAGAAAACTGTGAATGTTTGCATTAATCTAAAGAAAACTACCACTTAAATTATTCCGGTAGCAATAAACTACCAGAGGATAAAAATAAATCAAATGCTTTCTTTCATTTTCTTCTTACTCATGCTATTCCTCACTTGCAAAGAAATCAGGATGCACATTTAATTCAATCATACCTCATGCTGTATACTGTACAAGGGTCAGTTCAATCTGCAGACAGCACTTCTCCTTTTGCAAAGGAGGCAGTATGTGCCAATGGATGTTCCCAAGCAACACAAAGAAAATTTGTCAGCAGGCTTTTCTGATCGTTGTAGATTTTGGAGTTGGAATTCATGGTTCCTTAGAGTCTACTTTTTCCCCAACTGGTTCTATAGCCATTTCAGTGAAACCCAGCAGGTTCAATATAAGGGACGTACTGGTTAGAGCAAAGGTCTGGGGTGTTTTTGAAGGCCCAGAAGTTGTCCCAATTTAAAGGAAATAGCAAGGAAAGGAGATTATGAGTTTCTTATACCCAAAAGCCCCTATCTAGGACTGTTGCTTGCACTCTTCAAACAAAAGAAATCAACTAGGTGTATCGCTCCCCTAGATGCTTGGTCTCTGCCCTTTTACTTGAGCCTACTCTACTGTACCATCTTTTTCCTGCTGGAAATGGCATTTGTAAATGTTTGTGGTTGTGTATAATGCCTCTTGGGAAAAGAACACCAAATCTAAGGACTGCAGAATTAGAAGTAGCACCAATAACCACCTCGATGTCCCTGATGACGTATATGCAAAATAAATATAAAGTATCTGCTCCAATGCAGGTGAAGGGAAATACTTTAGGAAAACAAATACATTGGAGAAGATACTCAATGCAAGATTGCCTGTTGGAGATTTTCACACATGAAACAATCCTCATACACACACAGCCTAACAGAAGACCCTTGGGCTGCTCCTGGCTTCATTATTGTTGCAACAAAACAAGATTAAAAAAATCAATCGCCATTCATCTTGGCGATACCAAGACAGGAAGATAACTCCATTGAAAATGCAGACCTATAAAAAGGGAGGCTGCAACTACTGCCATCTCCATCCTCTCCCAAGCCCACCATTTTAACTCCTGTCTCACCCTTTTAGACAAAATCACCAAACCCACATCCTGGCTTTCAATTAGCAATCACAGTTATTTCCAGAGATGAGCCATTTACCAAGTCTTTTAGCCTGACTCTTCAGTGGCCTCTAGTGGCAGCCTCATTGTCATTGCACCCTCCAATCCAGGTCACCTGCTGTAATATTTGGGAGCTTGTATAACATGGAATGCTAACCCGATTTTGGAAGATGGAATACGCCTTTTGAAAAAGTGAAGGCTACCGAGTACTCCTGCCAGTACAACAAGAAGTCTACAGCACAGTGAAAAGAAAACTGTATTCCTGGCATACGGATGGTGTAAATGTGAGCCATTTGTGGTCTTACTTCCCCAGTCTCCCCAACACCAGCACTACCTCCCTATCCAGCAGAAGGGGGGCAGGGGATTTAATTCTGAGGAACCACTTCTGTACCACAACTGCTACATGTGTCACAGAAAAACCTGGTTACAATCACTGGGTGCTACCGTGCCATCACCAAAATCTAAGCTATGCGTGCACGCACACAGGTTATGAAATCAGCGCACAAAGGAAATTGAACTGCGCACAAAAAATTTAATTCCCAAAAAAGTATGATAATAAACACAGTCGTCAATTGTAATTGACCACACAAGACTGGCTGCGAAAGGCCCAACTTGGCTGTGTGCATTATTTTTGCTACTCGATAATCGGTATCTGTGCTCTCGTAGTCTCGTACCTCACGGTTCAGCTTGACTACTTGGGGGGTTGGGGAATGTCAGTGAGCACCTGAATCCATTACTTACCTTTAATGCAACAGGTAATTATCTCAGGCAAATCATTACGTATTAATAGTGCTCTGCACTTGTCTACGTTAATAAACACATTTTGATTCACCCAAGGTTATAAATTTACTTTGTAGTGTCTTCTAGCTGTCCATCTTTGAATTTGAAGTTCAGATATAAGCAATATCTGCAACCATGTTTACTAATTACACCAAATGTCTGTTAGTGTCAGACAGACCCTGCTGTCTGGTTACTTACTAGTACTCTGCTTTAGAATATTGAATGGGGGAACATCCTTTTGATTTTTATGCAAACTCTCTGACAGTCTGTCCCATGCAGTTTGTGTGCATTTGCACTAATGGTAGTGTTTATCTAGAATACGGAGGGACCTGGCTTGAACACCTCTTGTGACCCATGAATGACACCTGTAAGTTAATTTCACAACTTCTACCCATTAGTAGCAGACGTCCTATTTATTTCATTCCAAGATTTCTGAAGGGTTCATAAATGACATTAAAGTAGGCTAAATCATAATTCAGGACTTTAGAAACAAAAATGTTAGCAACCACACTACCCAGCTCCAAGTCAATTTCATAAGGTTCCATGTGTTGAATGGAATTCAATGCAGTTTGAAATTTGGAGTTTCCAGGAACAAATTCCACTTTAAGACAGAGCATCAAAGTTGGAACAATTGTTTATGTGCTTACCTTAAAGAATTCTTGTGGCATGGATAGCTGATCTCTCTAAAACAGAAAGATCAGGTTCCAGGAGGTTAAAATCAGAAGTTTCCAAATCTTCCATCTGGGGACTCACAAAATTGTTGGTTTCCTTTCGATTGCAGCACTCAGATAACCGAATCCTTAACAGACCTTACAATATGGCTTAATTTGAACTCCAATTTGTCCAGATCTTAAACCTGTTGGAAGTTGTCATTTAACTATAGTATTTCATATATATAAACTAAGATCTCCACCATCTGAGCAGAGTAAAAAGACTCACAAAGGTTCCAACCCAGTAACCTTGGTTAATTGGTTCAATTAAGGATTCATTTCACTCAGCTGCAATGAAACCTTGCAGGTGGGGGAGGGGGCACCAGGACCAGGGTTGATTATCCCTGGTTTAGAGGATTCGTCAAAATGAAAAATTAATCCAAAGTGGAAATAAAATCCTCAAGAACAGTAAAGGCCACGAAAATCGAAAAACACAAAGCCTATCTCTTCCTTTAGAGCTCAAAACCTACAGAGAGCAAAGGCTGAACAATTTTAGTGCTCATCATCATGCTTCCGTGACAAAAGGATTATTTCCAGGTCTGTGTCAGTGACTAATTCAGGTTTTCCTCTAAACCGAGGTCACTGTCTAAAGCTACTCCAATTCACTTTTCATTTAGCAAAGTATAATTCTCTATCAATTGAGATTTCTGTGTTAGGTTTTCACAAGGTGTGCCTGCTCCACCCATCCAGCAAACCAATCACATATCAGCTTTTCTTAGGTGGCCCATTAGACCCCTGCTAATTGCTTCTGCAGAGGCTTGTTCATTCCACTGATGCTCATTTTCTGTTTAGGATGCCAAGGATTCTGGGGCTTGTAGTTTAAAAGCCATGTTCATACTCTGTTGTTTGGAAATGTATCTGTCCTCTGTGACTCTATCAGTAATACTGTTACTGCGTTATGCTGCTCTATAGACATTTCAGCTATTTTTATTAGCTAAGCCTAAGCGTGCTATTGAGAAAAAGGTTCAGTGCTACACTATTTACCTGTTTCCCGAGGAGAGTTTATTAAATGAATTACTAAATATCCACATACTATCTACAGTTTAATTGCTTGTGTTAGAATTGTGCTTGTTTTGCTTTGTTTGATTTACATCATTCTATACTTCTACTTTTGTAGATAACTCCTCTTAGTTGGTTTGGGTTTTATCAAACCAACCAACAGACACAACAAAGCGATTAATATGAAATTGCACATTTTTTTCTCTTTTAATTTTTCTCTTTTTTTAAACCGACACTCAAGTAAACAAAATGATATAGCTCTTATTTATATCCAGTAGCACAAAATCAAACTGCAACAAAGTTAACCTTTGACAGTATGTGTCCATAACTTCAGATACCCAGTCATTGGATCTTCAGAACACAAAAAGTACATAATAAGCTTCATAATAACTGTGTTCTGATAATAGATCATTAAATACTTGAAAGACTGCTGAGATCAGTTCTTTTGGAAATTGTTTTGTTCTTTTATCATTTTTAGCCATAATCAAGATTTTCAAAAATGGTAGAAATGAATTCAGTTATAAAAACATCAAAACCAACTGATGTTTGGTTTGTGTAAGGAAGGAGAGAGACCTTACAAATAATCTTTCTGTTTCTCTCTTTGCTTCAGAATCTGTAACATGAGCAGTTCTTTACATTTTTCAATTGCTTGGTTAGGACGAAGAGAAAGGAAAGTGTCAAAATCTTCATTCACTGCACGCAATGTGACTGCCGTGCTGTATGAGTGAAAAGCAATAATGTCATGGAAACAGAGAAAGTAAAAGGAAAGAGAAATGGGTCAGATTTGACACTAGAAGAGACGATGACATGAAAACACTCCGTGGAGCCATGAAATCTGGAACAAAAGTCAAAGAATTGAGAAACAAAAAGAAGTTTACAGGCCTTTAAGCACGAGAGTAAATCAAATCCATAAACCAAGATGTTAAAAATCGCCCGCTATGAGTTTGCAAGTGTTTTTGGTTATAAAACCAAATCAATATGGACAGTGCTTTAAACTCCATATGTTGTATAGTACTGGGGATAAGAACAAACAGAGAAAAAAAGCTATCAGCTGTAAATAAAACAGATTATATAGGAAGCTTCGTGGCTGAACATTTGATTTGCAACAAAGCTTTATCTTTTCTCTGGAAACAGTTTGATGTACTCGATTGTTAAAAAAATCGCCAACGTCTCAAATTAACAATTTAATTTTGTTTTTGCAATGTACAAAGGCCTGCGAATTATGAAAACAATCCGAGGTGTGTCTCACCACCAAGCATAAACATCATGGTATCTAGCAGCTTGGCTAAACACATCAAAAAGTTTATACAGAAAGCTTCTTAAACCAAAGACTGTTAGCTTTTGCCTCATGAGACTAGTGTATTGTGATACACTGGTATATTGGGAGATTCCAGCTTTTAAAGCTGTTTGTAACGACTAATACAACAACAACTAATTGCATGTGCAAATTAATTAATATTGATAAGATACTCATTAATATTTATGTAATAATCATTCATAAATCCATCCATTTTTATCCAATAGAAGGCTGCGACAGGCACAAAGCAGGGTACACCCTGGAAGGGACGCCAGTCCATTACAGATCACACACACAATTTTCCAAGAGGCCAATTACCCTATCAGCATGTCTTTAGAGGAAACTTTAGCACCCAGAGAAGACCCACACAAACATGGGGAGAACATGCTTGAACTTGAACTTTATTGCCATACTGTATGTAACCGGTACATGTACTGGTAAAATGGAATTCTTATTTACAGAAAGTCTCTTGATTGTTAAAAAAAAAGAGTAAAACACAAAGTGCAGACAGTGCATCAAGACAATATACAAACAGTAGACAATGTACAAGTAAACAAGTAAACAGTTTGAATGTAAACACCAGAGCCAGGATAGTTGTTAATTGCCAAAACAAACGATCAACAGGTGAAACATGTTGAACAGGGGACTAGTGCAACAATTAAGAGGGGATTGAAGTGAAAGAGCAAAGAAGGGGGTATCAAAGTTAAAAAAAAGTGTCCACATACAGTATCTTGAATATTTGTTTCAAGGAATTTGTTTTTCTACTATCAACATAGCAAGATTAGCCTGCCTCAAACTAGAATGAAAATGGACATCTTTTTAAAGTAACAGGCAGTCAAGAAAGACAGGTTTCGTTTTGTTTTAGTGAGGTGGGCTTTCAATAAAAAGTGTTTTGTTTAAAGTAGAGTATAAAGATTTAGCAGCTTTGACACCACAGAGATGATCTGTAAATGCACAAACTAGCTTACAATTAAGCAGTAATTGAAGTTTTTTTTTTTTCAGATAGCTTGATGAGATTGTTCCTTAATGTTTGTGAATGCACAACCATTGTTGTAGTCTGTATAGATGAGTAAGATAGTCATCAGGCTCCAAAAATACTGTACTGTACTTGGAACGTTAGGGTTTCCAAACAATGCATAATAGAGTATTCAATATGCTCCAAAACTGAGCAATCTCATCCAATGTACTGATGTACATTGTATTGAGATATGTAAACCACGACTGCAGATATGCAATAAATAAAATTACAATGAGGTAGATGGTGTAGGTGGGGTCCCAGGGGCATGGCCAAGTGTATTCGCCAATCGCACTGCTTGTAGGTAGAAGCTATTGAAGAATCTGGTGGTAAGTTTCCGTATGCTCTTGTATCTCTTGTCTGAGCCAGGCCTGAGCTCTTGTATCTTCTGGGCCACATTCAACGTTCTCTGCAGTGCCTTTCTTTCTCGAGAAGAGGTGTTGCTGTGCCACATGGCGATCCCGTTGGTGAGGGATCTCTCGATGGTGCAGGGGTTAGAAGTTCACCAACACAGGCACTGGCTTCCCCCATCGCTTGAGGCACCTCAGGAAATAGAGGTGCTGCTGAGCCTTCTTCAAGATAGAGTCCATGTTCACAGTCCAGGTGAGGTCATCAGAAATGTGAATTCCCAAAAACCTAAAGCTGGTGACTGTTTCCACTTCCGTTCCATCACTACTGAGTGGGCTGTGAGTGTGCGGCCTGCAAACTCCACACAGGCAGTACCCCAGGTCCAGAACTGAATCCAGGGCCCCAGTGCTGCCAGGCATCAATGCTGAGCACTGTGCCCCTTCGGCGCCCTTTGTGGGTTAAATCATTTGTGTAAAAAAGAATTGTTGGCCGATCAAGCATTTATCAGACTCAATGAAAAGATGAATTGACGTCAGGCGCCTCCTTCCTGTGAGTAAAAGTGTGAGTGCCAATTCCATCGAACACCTTAAACATTTCCCGCATCGTTATTAGAAGAGTGGATCTGCTCTCCGTGCTCCCCTGTGGACTAGTTTTAAAAACAACTGGCCTGTAGTTGAGTGGGTGAGAGGGAATATCCGATGGAGAACTGGAAATGTGTCCTGGCAGTTTTATAGAGTTTTGCCCAGGGAGGCTTGTTAACTTGGCATGGTGGACCGAGAAATATCTACCACAAAATAAAGATGCATCTTAATATGATGGAAGTATTTGATGATGGCGTGCGTATTAGCTGGGTTCTACGCAGTTGCTTATTCATCTGGAAGGGTTTGCATGTGTTTTGGAGTGTTTTCATATGCGTTGTGTTTAGTTCTTGCCAGTTTTAACCCTTTATGCCAGTAGCAGACAAACCTAAAACGTCTGTCAGACCATGTGGCCTTGAAACATTCTCATAGGCCACAGCTCTGTCCTCATCAACAGAACTAACAAGGGATTGCAAAACCATGGAAATCCTTGATGTCTTTATGTATTTTTTTTATGGATAAACCGTTTTGAAAACAACAGTAGTAAAATGCATCAAAACATCTTTAGAATCCCTCTGGGGCCTCCATTTATGTCTCCAAAGCTGCTTTAAATATAAAACTGAGAGTGGTATAGCTGTCTGGAAATTAAACTCCCCAAGACACGCAGTTACTATAATAAACATAATATAATACAGCAGTAAGACTGAGACTAATGTGAGAAGGTACTGGTGCAGTATCAGAGTAAAATAACAGTTGAAAGAAGTTGTATATCATCTGAGCTGAAGAAAAGAAATTCAGCATTTAAGTGAACGTAGGGCTAGACATTATTGAAGAATCACACAGAAAAGGACCCAGTTAAGAGCTGAGTGGGTGTGTGGTGGTAATTTACATGTTTCCTGCATAGCTCCGCATTGACCTGCGTGTTCTCACTAGATAATGACGGTCATTTTAGTTAGAGTTGTGTCACTAGTTAAAACAGGGAGCTGCTATAAGAGAACGTCCTTGGACATCGTATGCTGAACTATGTCCTTGGCCAACAGAAACGGAATCAATCCTTATGTTGAGGTTTGTTATTTTGGGCTTCTTGTAATAACGTTTCAGTTGGACTGCAACACTGCCTCTGTATGTTTCACCAGAACTGCTGTCTCTGTGAAGAAGGACCCGCCATTATAAGTAGAGGATTTATTTTGGTTGAACACGCGGCATTTTGGGATTTGTATCATTGCGCTTGGGGAATACGTTAATTGAAAACCAGAAATCTGGGTTATGTCAGTTACTAATTTTTAATTAGCTTTTACTCCTTTCGTGTTTATATTTGGGGGACATGGTTATGGCTGGGGATGATCTGTTCAAAGGGAATCTCTCAGATGCTGCTGAATGTTTTTCGGCTCGCTAGTTTCTCTGTCATTGACACAACTGGCGAGATCAGCCTGCTCGTCTTGTGGTGCAGGCCTCAGAAGCTTACTTTGTACTTCAAAGCGGGCATCCGCATTTCGCCTTTTATGGGTCTGACATGTATGAAAAGCATTTATCTGCATGGTTTGGAGCTGGTAAACAGACAAGTAGAGAAATTTCACATTTACGTTGGTTTTTTTTTTTAACTCGTAAAAATGGATCCCAAACACGTCATCTTAATCCCAGTCCAAACCAGAAGATCAGAAGACTGCAGAAAGTGACAGCTTTGTCTCAAAAAGGTCCAATTGAGCGTTTTTTTATATGTCCTTACTTCCTCCAGGCATGGAAGTCTTGATGTAAAATTCAGTGAAATAGTTAATTAATGCACTCTTCGGATACCCCCCTGCATAACTACTGTACCTTACTTCCAATATCCAAACCCAATATCTAACTTTTTTAACTGGATTTATACCAAAAAACTCCTGTTACATAAAATGTGAATCAGAATTTAATTTTCCAGGCTGTAACTCATTCAAATCATACAATGTTTTTTGTTCCCATTTCATTAGGCGCATAAATTAATCTAGAGGGCATTGTATATATATGGTTGTGGTAAAGAAGTATTTAAACTCCTTCATGAGAATACATTGTACTTGTGCTGAAAAGGGTACGTAGATTTGTGGTAACAAAAGACAACCATTAGACCAATAGAATTTAAAATGACAAAGTCCTTGTGAGTCCAGAATGAATTAATGAAACTTTATTGTAATAAGGATTATTGTTGACACAATTTTTTCATTATTTTGCAAACTTACAACTTGCATTCTTCAGCTCTGCCAAACAAAAAGGCCAGAACAATGACTATTTTCCAAATATTCTTTTTTTAAAATTGACCAACTCTTTAGGCCCTGTCTTGCTCAAGCGAAATTATTCCTGATGGCTGTATGAGCATTTAAAAGATGAAAATAAAACACATTTTTTTCTGTATTTTGTAAGAAAAACACATTGCAAAATTCCAACAGATCAGTCCATGAGAATATGTTTTTCTTTTGATACTTGATTGCAAATAATCAGTCCTTGATAGATCAAGTAGCTAAAAGCTCCATGCTGTTAAAGAGGTGAAGATGAGAAGATGGAATCATTGTTTTTCCTTTGGAAAACAGCTCTTTTTGAGCTTTGTAAAGCAAGGACAGATCATTACGGACCCAACACCTTGACTGAGAGTTTGCCAAATGTTTTGTCTTCAAGAGGTTGTGCAGTTTCCACCAAACATATTGTGATTCTTAGTTGAAAGCTAGTTCTATCTTGGTTTTACTGGACCAAAGAATGTTGTCAAATAAAACCTGTGGTTTATTTAAAAAAAAATTGAAAGGTTTAAATAGCTTGTCCAAAAACCAATTCTGCTACAGTGGGTTTTTGGTGTGGTTTGCATCTGTGAAGCTGTTCATTTTTCAAACGATTCTTCTCTATATATTACACACGCTGCTGCCACAAAGTTCCAGATTTTCTGTCAGATTCTTTTAGCTATTGTTATAGATTATCATTTAACTTTCAACTCGTGGAATGTTTCTTCCAACCTTTGCTGTGTCTCTCACGTCTTCAGAGGTTTTCTATCATTATAACACCTTTCAGATTTTTAAATGAATACACAAGCAGCATTCCTAGATACTGTATGTGGACGTCAAATCAATTTTTAACACAAATAATTGCTTTCCAGTGCCTTCGTTCTGTTTCACCATTTTCTAAAATGTCAACATCTTTTTTGAGGTAAAAACTTCTTTATTCTTCCAGGTAATTATGAAATTAATATAATGACTGTTTTATCTTACGTATAGACTTATTGGATTCAGTATGAACCTGCTAGACTGAATGTTAGTGGCGTCAATAGCTTTTCCATGCTAGCATATACAGTATGTTACATACCGAGGGGCATGAGCTTTAGATTTAAACTGAAGTTTGGGACAGATGACAACAACCAAATCCGTTTCACCCAGCTGTTCTGAATCACATTCCCAATGTAAATTCTCATTACCTACTGTATATATACCACAAATAAATCGCTCTCTTTGTATTTTGTCGTACACATCCTTCCTCCACATTTGTACTGTAGCTAGTCCTTAGTCACTCCTCACTCTGTATGAGGGTCTTAGCCTCCTCATTCTTTGGCCACAAGGCCAGCCCTCCGCCAAGCAAGTGATCTCAAGCAAATATTCCTCATGGTGCAGGATTAATCAGAATACATTTTTTCTTTAGCAATACAAGCTTTTTAGCAATACAAGCTACTTGTCAATCAAAAATATAACATTAAGCATTTTTAAAGACAATTATTGTTGGCAAGGGAAAGAACAAATGCATATTATTTCTGATTCTTTTTATCACGCAATCAAGGTATTAATGGTGCGGCCAAAAAAATACTTTCTGGTCCAATTTCTGCTTCTGATAAAAATGAATATCAAAGCATATCTGTGCTTTAAAAATCACAAATTTTGTGACGTTACAAAAGATTGGGGCCAGACACAGATTGGATTTATTTTCTGATGAAAGGACACCATTCCGAAAATAAAATGGCAAGAGGGGGAAAAAATAGAAAAGGCTGAATTAGTCTTAAATCTTATTTTTTTTTAATTTGATGTCCTTCGTTTCTTTTTTCCGGTACAGAGCCCTGTCTTCTGTGGTGGCTTTGGGCGCAAACATCATCTGTAATAAAATACCGGGGCTGGCACCTCGACAGAGGGCTATATGCCAGAGTCGCCCCGATGCCATCATCGTCATTGGCGAAGGAGCGCAACTTGGTATCAATGAATGCCAGTATCAGTTCCGCTACGGACGATGGAACTGCTCTGCGCTGGGCGAGAAAACTGTATTCGGGCAGGAGCTGCGAGTAGGTGAGTATACCGGGGGGATTTTTTCAAAGTTTTCTTGTGTCTTCATGAGAGGGGATCCCCTGCTTGTCAACTACGGAAGTGCATTGTTGCCACCAAGGGAAAAAAATTGCCCCCTTATCTCGTACTTTCGAGGTAAATATCTCGAGATATCTCGTAATGATGAGATAGCGGTAATTACTTCGCTGTAGGTACATCCTGTTACGTTGTGCACTGAACGCATCTAGAAGCTAGCGTGAACTTGGCTGGCACTTGGCTGGTTTAACGGTTGTGCCAATGTCCAGCACTGCATAATTTGTACGGATTTAGACTCGGCTGGTATTTAGTCATAATGAAATCTCGCAATTTTAAGCAAATATATAACAGAATACGGACGCGCGTTGCTGTCACCAAGGGGGGAAAAATCGCCCCCTTATCTCGTAATTACCAGATAGCAATGCCTACATCAGTGTATGTACAACCTGTTATGTTGTGCACTGAATGCATGTAGAAGCTACTGAATTTGGCTGCCACTTTCGGATTAATGGTCGTGTCAATGTCCAGCGCTGCAGAATTTGTACGGATTTGCTCTCGACCGGGGTTTAGTCATAATGAAATCTTGCAATTTTTAGCAAAATATGAACAAAATCATTAGAAGCATGAGGACCACTTTTGAGGGATTTAGAGATCAAAGCAATGATAGTTCCGTTATGAACATGTAACAGTTCTTGGGGTCTCCGCCCTTGTCCCTCTCTGCCTGGGTGCGAACCCAGGTCTCCGGCGTCACGCAACAGGGAACTTGCCGGCTGAGCTAAAGGAGAACTCCCCCAGCCCGGGCGGCTGAGATCCCTGTTATACGCAGGGGTATATTTGTTACAGTTAGGCGTGCAATCAGTCCCACTGCTTAAAACTGTAAGTCTGCACATAGCGACATAGGCATTATACAGTGTGACAATTGTGCTATCGCGTGATCACATAAAGTACACGAGAATTACTATCTTGTAATCACGGGATAAGGGTGAGGATTTTTTTCCCTTAGTGGGCCAGCAATGCGCAGAAGGCTGGGGGGGGGGCTTTGGCCGAAAGATTTGCAGGGGGCTTTTGGATGTTACTGCTGCGAGGTGCGAAAGAGCTGACCACACCAAAAGGACGAAATAACTGCTCAGAAATTCTGATTCTAATTGAAGTTTTTTTAAAAAAAAACAGCTGAATAAACAATACGGCAGAAGACTTGCAGATCATTTAATGTCATAAATGTTGTTATGTTGACCGAAAATAGAAGAGAACATCTGTTTTTAATCTTCAAAACATGGTTGTGTCCGTGCCTGGACCGTGTATTTATGTAGTTAAGTCAACTGCAAGCAGTGGAATTATTCAATTGATATTGTTGAAACTAAAGTATATACTCTTGATTTGTTTTCTGTAACATAATTTAATATACAAATCTTTCATTTTCTAATCTTTCGTGGCTGTTACTCCTCACTTCTGTGTTGGCTATGTGGTTTATTCAGCGGCTCTGCAAAACAAGCGCAAATCTTTTTTTTTCTTAGACTCTTACCGTTTTGCCCAGATTTCAGTGTGGCATCTACTTAAAAAATGTCTGGCTGGATTGCAAGTTTGGTCTTGTTATCCAGTGTTTGCTGGTAAAAAATTGGGTTATGTCATTAGCTACCAGTGACCGGGACTCTGTGAGGCAGAGCACACAACTGGGGTTTTCTGAGAATGTCATTCATTAGTGACTGCTGTGGCCTGTAAAACAGTAGTTATCAACCAGATCTCCAGTTGCATCTTTCTGCTGTCCAACAGATTAGAGTGCTTAGGGTGCAAACAGTGATTTTCTTCATGATTTCATATATGTATTGCTTGACTGACTAGAAAAAAATGTTTCCCTGAATAGCTCACTGTGCTTTTGAGTAAATTCAGCACCTCGTGGTTGGAGACTTATCAGGATTGCAGTGTGTAGGTGGACCACCATCTCTGGACTTTGTGTTCGGCTTTGTGTTCCGAAAATCAAACCATGATCCTTTGCAAAATTGGAATGGCCTTTCAAATGATCAAAAGAGCAGTGGCCATGATGTTTTTAAATCCAAACTGCAAACACATTTGCATTCACTGGCATTTTCGACATGACTTCCACAGGTTCCACTTTTTCGCATGTTCAGTATAAAAACCCTGAGACTTTTTGACTTGGGAGGAAACATCTGTGCTAGACGAAAGGGTATTGACAAACCAGCACCCATTTGGTTGCTAATAGCTAGCTGAGTCAAAAACGTGTCCTATTTGCTTGTTCCAAAACTCCCCACAACCCTTTATGTAAAAAGTGCCTCCTGTCTGCAGTTTTAAATGCACTTCCCTGTAGTTTTCACATGTGTTTGTTCTTCTTTGTTGAAATACACAAGTACAACAAGGAGGAGAAGTGAACATGGCGAAAAGGAAAGAGTCAATTTTGTTGACCATGTCAATGCCTCTGAGGAATTTGAATACTTTGGTACCCTCAGAGTCTTTGCTTCAGACCAGAAAGGTTAATTTCTTTATGCCAGTCATGCTAGAACATTGCTTTAACCCTGGGAATGTATCACATTGCTACTCACTGGACTGTTTTCTATTTTTATTGCTTCACTACATTGTCTGGAAGGTGTAAATGTATATCAACATCTTCATCCTCAGCGCTTCCTGTTTTGTACCTATATTTTATGTCCTTGATTAAAAATGTCAGTTCAGGTGTTTTTCGAGTTTTGAATTTGATCTGCTGCCCCAACAATGTTTGCTAATGCTCCTATTTTAGTATCTTCTTGATTAGACCAGTATCTTGGTAATCTATATAAATTAGGAAGAGCATTGCAGGTATTCCAATAAATAAATCACCACAGTTTGTGCTATAAGAACTTATCTTTACTCTCTGTTTTTATACATTAACCAGTTCTCAGTTTAAAGACACATTTCCCAGAATACCTATAATCTGAATATTTTATGGGGAACATTATCAGAAGATTTCTGACATCTAAATACACCATATTGTATGCTTTGTGTGTCCATTACAGTTGTTGCATGTCCAAAGAACTCCAACTGTTCAAAGAATAAGTTAGTTAAACAACCATAAACCCACTGTGCCTTTCTTCTAGATTCTCTACGTTACAGTATAATTATTGTTTCTATTTATGGATCTGCCAGATTTATTGATTGATAATTACTTGGTTCAGTTTTATGCCCCTTTTATGGATGGCCACTACATACGTAATTCTGTCTCCTGGGGATAATTTGTCTTCAACTTGGAAGAGCAGTATGAATGGCTTATGAATAACATCTCATGTTACCTTATATCACAAATGATAGGACACAACTGAGCCTTGAAGTTGTGTTAGTCTTGAGTGCTTATGCTATCTAAAAGCTACTATCTATACTACTGTTATTCAATACTATATCAGCCTTGTAATGTATCCCAGGAGTGCCCAGTTCTAGTCTTGGGGATATGATGTGCCTTAATGTTTTTATTACCGTGAATGAAACGTTTATTACAACTCAGCTCTTATTAATCGAAATCAGCCCATTGCTAACTTAATTAGAACCTTTTTTAACACGTTCTCCCAGCTTTCTAAGTAGTGCTGCCCTACAAAGTCCTATAAAACCTGCAGATATAAAGGCCTTTTTAAAACCAGGCCTTGGTAGCTCCGATGCCAACTAATACAGCACAGATTGGCATACAAGGGGTTAAGTGGAACCAGACAGGCTTCAATGTCTAAAGATGTAAAAGGCTCTAGGTCTCTCTATGAGGTGTTGTGCTGAAATGCATTGAATAAGTTCAAGTTCATGTATATTTGTCATTCCAAATATACAAGTATACAGTGGAATGAAATATCGTTCCTCCTGGCCCATGGCGCAAATACAGGCAGGACAAACAGGGTACACATAGTGCAAAGTGCAGATAGTGCAAATTACAAGGCAAATACATAGTGCAATATACACAATACACTGGGGGGATTTAAACCCTGTTTCTGGAATTGGGGTTGGTGCAAGTAGATTACAGGGTGTTGAGGAGCCTGACAGCCTGCAGGAATAAGCTGTTCCAGAGTCTGGTAGAGCTGGCCCGTACACTGTGATATCTTTCCCCAGATGGAAGGAGGGCAAAGAGTTTATGGGAGGGGTGGGAGGGGTCATTTACTATACTGGAGGCCCTGTGTCTGCACATTTCTGTGCTAGATGGCAGAAATGGAAGGGAGGGAGATAAGGGTGAGAAAAATTAAATGGGACCTCAGTGCTTTAAACTAAATATAGATGGACTCAAAACCAATAATCAAGAAAGAGAATGAATACCAAGTATCATCAGGTTTCAGACAAATGGTATAGCAGGTGGAACAGCCAACTGAGTGAGGAACAGCGTTATTAAAAAGAGTATAAGGGACCACAAAGTTGAACTGCAGTATTCACAGAAAATATTGGTGTTGTACCATTTTGTTTTAGAAATATCACCCCCAGATAAAGGAAAAGAGATGGCAGTGGTTTTGGAATCTACAATTTCATTTGTTAAAGAAATGTAGAATATTGTTGTGTGTAGGACCATTAGTCTCACTTGCATAACGAAAACGAAGGCAGATACACAGTAATGTGGTACTGTTTCACCAGTCAGAAGCTTTGAATTTTTCCAAGCTGTGTTATTTGTTTAAAAGTAGGAGGGTATCTGAAGGCAGTTTCTAATGAAAAACGTTCGTGTTTCAATTGTTCTTTCCCTGTTGCTTTACACCAGCCAAGACGCTTAATTCTGTGACTGAATGAAAAGCGCAGTTTACTGTAAATCCAGCTGTGGAGTATGACAGGGCACAGGCTGGCAGATATTTAATGGATGATACAGGTTTATCTTTTACTGCTTCATAACTTAAAAATGCTCTTTTTCTCTAAGAGGAAAGCAAAACACACACAGTGCACGAGGAATATGTACAGCATCTTAATTACGTAGCAAACAGCTTTCGAAGATGTGGAGAAAATTCCTTAAGGGAATGTGATGTATTTCAGCCCATATTTGCTTTTCT